CCTAAACCCCTAAAGCCCTGAACCCAAGAAAGCCTAAAGCCCTAAACCGTAAACCCAAGAAAGCCCTAAACCCTAAACCCCTAAACCCCTAAACCCCTAAAGCCCTAAACCCCTAAAGCCCTAAACTCAAGAAAGCCCTAAAGCCCTAAAGCCCTAAAGCCCTAAACCCCTAAAGCCCTAAACCCCTAAACCCCTGGAGCCCTAAACCCAAGAAAGCCTAGAAATCCCGAGCCGGGCCGCTTTCTTAGACATCTCGTAGAGACTCATCCGGTCAGAGGGAGTCCTTCAGCTCGCCGATATCACTGGGTTCGTGTTTTGCTTAAAGGAAACTACAGGTGGGGATTTTGGGGTATATAGGGTTTAGGGTTTAGGGTTTAGGGTATTAGGGTTTAGGGCTTAGGGTTTAGGGTTTAGGGTGAGTTTAGGGTATATAAGGCTTGTATAAGGCTTCTATAAGGTATATGGACCTTCTATAAGGCTCCTATAACGGGAACTACCCACCTGAAAACGTCCTAGACTTGTTGAGGGATTTTTACCCAGACCATAAGGACGACATGAACCCTAAAAGGGTTTAAGATGCATGTACCATATAGGAGTTCATAGTACAAGGGTATACATTTAAGGGCCAGTTCGTCCTGAAAGTTACGTTACTTTCATAAAGAAACCATCGAATTTACAAGACATCCTTATTATGGTAACTTAAGCTAAAGTCCTTAACAAGAGCCCAGAATGGAGTTAGGGCAGCTGGAGTTTAGGGCTCATGGGACGAGACTTAAGTGGGTTTAGGGGTTACAGGTTGAGACCGGTTTAGACTCTAGAGGGCTTCGGGTTTAGGATTAAGGATTTAGGCTTTAGGGTTTCGGGGCTTAGACTTTCAAGGGTTTCGCACGTAGGGTTTGGTGTTCAGGGGTGAAGACTTTAGACTTTAGGGGAGGCTTCAGCGGAGAGGGAGTCCTATTTTTATCGGTCCGTCCTTAAGGGCTCTGCATTCATTAGGGCCCCGTTGCTGCTGAAACTCCCAGAAGTTCCCACATCGCTTGGGGGGGGGGGGGCTTCGGGGTATGGTAGGGGATTCTCGTTTTGCGGGGCGGGTTGTCGGTGGGGCTTAGGGCTCAACGTAATGTAACGGCCTTAATAATTAGAATAGGGTTTTGGGGTATATTATACTTTCATTATAATAAGGAGCCCCCCCCCCAAATAGTGTTGGCAATTATTGAGGCCCCGAAATTAGGAGATTGTAGTTGAGACAGCTCGGGTAAAACTCCGGGAGCCCGAAGCCCTCGATCCCGGAACCTCTTGTACCTGACCTAACAACCCAAAATCCGCGAAACCCTGAATCCCTAAACCCTAAACCTCTAGCCCTAAACCCTAAATCCTAAACCCTGGACCTTAACAGCAGGATCCCCGTTGTGAGAGGTCTCTCTTCATCACGTCGACATCAGCCAAGTCGCCAGGTGTCCGGGCTGTAGCGCCAGATGCGTCCACCACCTGAAGCACCCTAAACCGTTCGAATCAATCTTTAGGGTACAGGATGTTGGGTTTAGGGTTTAGGGTTTAGGGTTTAGGGATGGTTAGGGGTTTAGGGTTCAGGGCTTGGGGTTCAGGGATGTCTAGGGGTTTACGGTTTTGGCAACTGGGCTCCTCTTTTTGGGGAAGAAGGAGCTTTCTTTTTCCTACCAATTCGCGTTGGGTTTTAGCAATCAAGGTTGAGGTTGAGGGTTAGAGCTCTAAGCCCTAAGCCCTCAAAGTTAGGGTTTATAACGCTTTCGTAGATGCCCCTTTGTTCTGTTACTAGATCGCTGAGCTCCTAAACCCTGAACCCGGAACTCTGCAACCTCAACCCGAAGCCCAAGCACACTACACTTTCCTACGTGCTTAAGTAACCCTAAACCCTAAACCCTAAACCCTAAACCCTAAACCCTAAACCCTAAACCCTAAACCCTTATTCCTTATTCCCAAACCCTAAGGCCCTAAAGCCCTAAATCCCTGAGCCCATGTAGAGGATGGAGGGCTAGCAGTGAAATCCCCTTATGGTCCTAGGGTTTAGGGTTTAGGGTTTAGGGTTTAGGGTTTAGGGTTTAGGGTTTAGGGCAATTCAACAATATCCCCTAAACACCCAACAGCATATGGATGTTTCACACCAGAACCCTCAGCCCCAGTAGCTACACCAAAGACCTGAGCCCCTTAAGATTACAACCCTAAACCCTAAGTTTCGACAACCTCACCCTAAACCCTAAACCCTAAACCCTGAACCCTAAACCCTAAGTTTCGACAACCTCACCTGACAGCGACCCGCGCAGTGAGATACCCCGCACGATGTCCACGTCCACCTGCTTCGAGATCTCGTCTCAGGGCTCCGTGATCTAGGGGTCTGTAGTCCTATCCCAAAGACTCCATGTACCCATATAGTATATACTTAGGCCTTAAAGGGGTTCCTATATAGGTACTTTGGGGTCTAAGTATATACTATATGGGTACATGGAGCCTCAGGGTATGGTGTAGGGGCTAAGGGGTTTAGGGTTTAGGGTGTATTAGGGTTTAGGGTTTAGGGATTAGGGTGTACAGCTTAAGATCTAGGTTTTTGAGTGGGCTCAGTGCCAAAATGTTGGCTTGGGCCACTAGGGCAGGGACCTCAATCAAAGCAGAGTTAATTGCACTACCAAGGCCTCCCTAAACCCTAAACCTACTTCTGTATGCCCATGAAGATTCAAGCACAAGGCAACACCGTTTCATGGGTTTCAGGCAATGCTTGAACTGAGTTGAAGATACACCCACAAAGGTTTTTGTGCCTTACCGACAGGTCCAGGAGAAACCGACGTCGGATGAGCAGCTAGAAGACCTTCCGAGAAGGCTTCGAGCCCTAAACGTCCCCAAACCGCCCCGTCCGTGCGTGGCAGAAATCCTGAAAAGAGTGGCTTAAAGCTTAAGTCCTAAACCATAAATCCGAAGCCTCAGAGTACAACAGCCAGGATCCATGTACAAGGGCCCCGTAATCAGAAACCTCCGTCTCGCCCGCCGAGGACTCTACGCCCTAAACCCTAAACCGCCAAAGATTGGCCTCGGCATATTTCCCCAAAGTGTGACGGTCTGTCTTGCTGATGGACACCGTGGACTCGGTGTTCGCTCGCCACGGTCGCTCATCTGCCTGGGCATACTCGGGTAGTTCTCCAACTTAGGGCCCCTTTTTTGGGGCTTAGATTTAAATGAACCCTACCTTAACCTACCAAAACCAAACCCCTAAACCCTATACCCTATACCCTAAACCCTAAACCCTAGCTGATCCTTCTCTGAAAGCCCGGGCATGCTTTGCACATCCCAACGCCCAAACCCTGAACTCTAAAATCCTCGCCACCCCCCCAGGCAACCCTAGAAGGCTTAAAAGGTGGTAAGAACAAAAGAGTCAGGGTTTGCTGCAGGGTTTAGGGCTAAACCCTAAACCCTAAACCCTTTGGGGATTCCGGGTGTTTGAGACACAACTCATGCCTCCGACTTGGCACTTTCCGCAAGCCACGGTGACTCTGCCGCTGCCGCCTGGAGCCACGGTGACTCTAGTGCTGGAGGCCGTTCTTCGTCCTGACAGACTTGGCACAATGTCTCGGGAGGCTGTATTGCCTCAGTGTGCAAGACTTGTTTCGGGGTCTTTCATTGTCATTATAATTGTCAAGGAACCCTTAGGAGCAATGTTTGCAATTGGAGTCATTGGTGCTAACCATAATGTTGCTGGCGAAGAGACTCGTACCGCAGGAAGCGAATCTGGAGGTCGCTGTGACCGTGGTGGTTGCGGTGATGCCGGAGGCGGTGGTGGAAATGCCGGTGCTGGTGATGGCGGTGACAAGGAGTTTGGGTAGAGGTGGTACTGTAGTGAAGATAGGCAGGAATCTGGCGATGGTGTCGATCAATGATGGGGCTTTTGAAAATGAACAGGTCAATCGAGAACCATCAACGATGCTGCTAGTGCCCACGTGATCCTAAGGCTCGCAGGCTGAATTGATATCATACTCCTTTCTGATCAGGTTCTTCTCCTTCATCGTCGTCATCATCATCAGCATCATCATCATCATCCTCATCATCCTCGCTATCATCACCATCATCACCATCATCATCATCATCATCAACATCAACATCAGTACCATCATCATCCTCCTCATCAGCTTGATCAGCCTAATCATCCTCACTATCATCCTCCTCAGGATCCCCATCATCCTCAACACCCTCACCATGCTCCTCCTCCTCATCACCATCACCATCACCATCATCATCATCATCATCACCATCATCATCATCATCTTCATCATCCTGCTCATCATCATGATTACCATCGGCAGCGGCATCACGATCCTGATCATCCTGATCATCATCCTCCTCCCGATCATTCTCACCATCCTCATCATCCTCCTCATCCACATCAGCATCATCGACTCAATAGCATCAACAAACTAATTAGTGCGCTCGCTTCATGTTCATCAACCGCTTCCGTCGGAACAGCACAATCGTCGTCACAAGCAACGTCCATGTTAGCATGAGGTCTAAACCTCTAACTCCGAAGCCCTAGCGATGCTTAGCCTAAACCCTAAACCTCTGACCCCTAAACCCCAAAAGTAGTCTTCAGGGTCTCCTCCTTTTCCTGCGGCTCCTCTAGGAGCGACACTGGGGTCACCCACCGTCCTTCAGGAAAGGCTATTCAGGGATGAGGGTTTCGGGTTTAGGGTTGAAGGTTTCGGGATTAGGATTTAGGGGCTGCTTACAAAGGAGAAATCCGCCTCTCAAAAAGTAAGGGGTCTTGGGCGTCAGATCCAAGACTCGGGCTGTGAACGTTTCGGGGTGGGGTGATAACAGCCTTAAGTCCTAAACCCAAAATCCTGAACCCTCAACCCCTAAACCCTAAACCCTACTTAAACCCTAACCAAACGGGACCATGGGGCAATGGGGCGCAGTGATTCAGGTCCTGTTCCCTAAATATAGTAGCCCTTGTAGAACCCTTCAAAAGGAACCCCCGAAAAACCCTATTCCAACAATTAAGGCCCTATTCCCTAAACGGGCTTAGAACCTGGCAGTTCGGGAGCTTCGGGGTTCGTTTTTGCTTGGGATTTTCGGGCTTAGGGTTTAGGAGTTGCTAGGATTCAGTGTTTAGGGCTTGGGGTTTAGGGGCTACCAGGATCTAGGGTTTAGGGCTTGCTAGGATTTGGGGTTTGGGGCTTAGGGTTTCGGGCCTACTAGGATCTAGGGTTTAGGGCTTGCTAGGATTTAGGGCTAGGGCTTAGGGGTTACTAGGGATTGGAGTTTAGTGTTTAGGGGTTTGGGTTTGGGGAGAGTGTCGGAAGCATGGTCGTGAAATCCTTCGCGCCGAG